ATTACTCATATGCAAATTCAAACTGAAGCTGAAGAAAATGAAAACAAGTCCACGAGAGCCAAAATATGACCTTGACTATATCCCGCCTGAATTTAGGGATCATCTGAAGAACAGATTTAATACATTTATCACTAAAGACCGAAGACCAGAAGAGTTGTGGGATGACATCAAGAACATCATTCATGAAGAAAGCAAAAAGTCATTGAGAAGACAAGAAGGAAAAGGTCAAAATGGATGTCAGTAGAGACACTGAAACTTGCTTTCCAGTGTAGAGATGCTTAAGCAAATGGAAGAAATGAGGAAGCCCAAGAGCTGAACAGAAAATTTCAAAGATCAGCTCAAGAAGATAAAGCCAAATATTACAATAAAATGTGCAAAGATCTGGAACCAGAAAACCAAAAAGGAAGAACACGCTCAGCATTTCTCAAGCTGGGGGAACTGAAGAAAAAAATTCAAGCCGTGACTTTCTTTATTGAAAGATTCTCTGAGCAAATTATAGAATGATGCAGAAAGCATCAAGAGAAGATGGAAGGAATACTCAGAGTCACTGTACCAAAAGGAAATGGTTAATGTTCAACCGTTTCAAGAGGCAGCATATGATCAAGAGCCAATGCTACTGAAGGAGGAAGTCCAAGGTGCATTGACGGAATTGGCAAAGAACAAGGTCCCAGGAATTGACGGAATAAAAATTGAAATCTTTCAAGAAAGTGAGGCGGCACAGGAGGCGCTCACTTATCTCTGCTAAGAAATTTGGAAGACAACTATGTGGCCAACTGATTGGAAGAGATCCATATTTCTGCCCATTCCAAAGAACGGTGACCCAACGGAATGCAGAAACCATCGGACAATCTCTTTGATATCCCATGTGAGTAAAGTTTTGCTAAAAGTGATACAGAAACTGCTATAATCATACACTGACAGAGAACTTCCAGAGGTTCAAGCCGGATTCAGAAGAGGCCGTAGAAGAAGGAATGTCATTGCTGATGTCCAATGGATCTTGGCTGAAAGCAGAGAATATCAGAAAGATGTTTACCTGTGCTTCATTGACTACGCACAGGCTTTTGATTGTGTGGCTCATGATAAGCTATGGACAACATTGCGAAATGTGAGTATTCTGGAACACTTAATTGTACTCATGAGGAATCTGTACCCGAACCTAGAGGCAGTTGTTCAAACAGAACATGGGAACACTGAATGTTTTAACTTTTAAAAAGGTGTGTAACAAGGTGATATTCTTTCACCATATTTATTCAGTCTGTATGCTGAGCAAATCATCTGAGAAGCTGGGTTATATGAAGAAAAACGTGGCATCAGGACTGGAGGAAGACTCATTAACAACCTGCGAAATGCAGATGATACAACTTTGCTTGCTGAAAGTAAAGAGGACTTAAAACATTTACTGATGAAGATAAAAGAGCACAGCCTTTGGTATGGATAACATCTCAATATAAAGAAAACAAAAATCCTTACCAATGGACCGATAAGCAACATTCTTATCAACGGAGAAAAGATTGAAGTTGTCAAGGACTTCATTCTTCTTGGATCAACTATCAACACTCATGGAAGCAGCAGTCAAGAAATCAAACTATGTATTGCATTAGGCAAATCTGCTGCACAAGACATTTTTGTTGGAAAGCAAAGATGTCAGCTTGAGGGCTAAGGTGCACCTGACCCAGGCCATAGTATTTTCAATAACCTCATAAGGCATGCAAAAGCTGGACAGTGAATAATGAAGACTGTAGAAGAATTGATGCTTTTGAGTTATGGTGTTGGAGGATAATACTGAAAGTGCCATGGGCTGCCTAAAGAACCAATAGATGCATTTTGGAAGAAGTACAGCCAGAGTGCTCCTTGGAGGCAAAGATGGCCAAACTTCGTCTCTCATACTTTGGATATATTGTCAAGAGGGACACGCCACTGGAGAAGGATATCATGTTTGGTAAGGTGGAGGGTCAGAGAAAAAGAGGAAGACCCTTAGAGAGATGGATAGGCCAAGTGGCAGCATCGATGGACTCAAGCATGGCAACAGTAGTGAGGTTGGCTCAGGAGCGAGATGTGCATAATTTCGCTGTGCGTCGGTACCGACTTGATGACACCTAACAACAATAACATCTTTCCTAACCCTTCTGAATGTTGTCCTTGTGTAAATACTACCCTTTCAATCTCAAATGGTTACTGGGTTCTAAGGTGTAGAAACTAGAATGAACTTTTTATTTGTCTGGTGTTCCCTGGATTAGAGCTGTTTCAAACCTACCAGACGCTCCTTTTAAACCCTGTACAGGGGTCAGTATGAGTAAGAACTGACTTGACGGCACTTCACAACAACAACCACTACCATAATAGGGAGTTATGTTCATATCCGAGGTACTTCCTCCCTTTGTGAACCCTGAAAGTACCCAGAATCCCAATGTGCCCTTTCTCTTGAACATCTCTGCCTACTGTAAAGAACTAGGGGGGGGGGAGGGGAGACACGGGGGGACAGCAGAAATATTGCACAACAGTTCTGCACTCGATGAGGAGGGTGGCTATGGGAGCCATGGGACTAGGTTCTAAACCCAGCTGTCCCTCACTGTGATGCTGGGCTAGTTATTTAAGCACAGGGAACTCGCATTCCCAATCTACAGAACAATACTGCAAGACTTACGGCATGGGAGCGCATTGTACAGGTTAAAACTTAAATTTTAACAGCTAGGACTGCCTAGAGGTGCAACTACTGAGCCATTGTGAATGAGCGCCATCCCTGTGCACCAGCGTCGCAGGAAATTCCTGAGAAAAACCACTAACTCCTAAGACTAAAGAGCAACGAGTCACAATGATTTCAAAGGACTCTAAACGCTGCTTCCTTTCTGCCCTGTGAGCCAGGACTTGGCTGTCCCCAGGAGGTGAGGGGCAGGCCTCACTCTGGAAGCAGGGAAACTCAGCCTGTGTCCTGCTTTCAGGTGATGTGCCGATGGAGAGTGGGTGGGAGCAGCCCCCATCCCCAAGTTCAAGTTCTGGCAGGTCGAGAGTCCCAACTGTGGTGAAAATACGAGTTCAAATTAGAAAAGCAGAATGCACTTAGTGAGATGGGAGCTTAGGGGAGGAAGGGGCCCTGGTGGTGCAGTGGTTCAAAGCGCTTGGCGGCTAACCAAAAGGCTGGTGGTTTGAACCCACTGCCCACTCTACAGGGAAACGGTGTGGCAGTCTGATGCTGTACAGATGCCAGCTCTAGAGACCCTAAGGAGCAGTTCTCTTCTGTCCTATAGGGTTGTCGCAGGGAATCAGAATCAACTTGGCAGCAGTGG